GGTAAGCATTATAATGATAAGCCTCATAATGGTAAGATGTACCACACAAAGAGCCTGATATGACCAAATTTATAAAACTTCTTTGATTGACCTTGAAGAGCTTAAACACCTGACAGACCTATGGCCTAAGTAACCATGCCCCCTAAAACCATTTGCACGAAGGGTTTTTGGCATAAGGTGAATACAAACATTTTATCACTGGCTCCACTGAATACATAACCTGAAAAATCTTGCTTTCACATCACAAAACCTGCGAAATAAATATTTGGAACTTCAATATGTCATATTTTTCTGTTCCTCATCAAGCCTTGTAATTTATAACTTTAACTTTCATCCATTAACCTCAGAGCAGGAAAGGTACATCTAAGCAGCTGAAGTGAAATGGGCAGCTTAGACAGATTTAAAAGATGCATCAGTATCTGAAACATATGCAGCCTTGGCTCAAGGCAATACAAGCTATCAATGGACCTTACATTGTCCCAAACCATGCCCCAGTTATGCACATTTTTATATAAATGCATCATGTTGCATTGATATAATATTTATGTACCACCTTGTACTCACCATTTGCTCATATTGGTACGAGGAAATTGTGTTGATATAAAATATGCAATGATGCTGTGTAACAGATACATTGCTGAGGATAGGGCTACAACTAGGATTCAGAATATTGCAATATTTGACACAAAACATAAGTTTCTATAAATGTCACAAATCTGAAAACTTCCCTTGCATAAGCAGACATTCTATAATGGTGAAATTAATTAGATAGCCCTGCATCCTACGTGATCTAATTATTTCAGCATGAGACTTAGCATAAATCACAAAGATGATTTATTTTGCTGACTAACTATACATTTCAGGTACAACACAAACCAATGCACCCATTAAATACATTAACCACAACATTTGCTGCTTACATTGGATACATTTACCAAGCGCAGGTTATTGTTCAATGCCAGGTTTATGCTGCATGCAGTTGCATGGAGCGATTGCATTTTGTGATGGTGGCCTCCTCCAACAATGTTGAAATGCACTAGCAAATGTTGGCTTGCCCTTCTCATATTGTTGCTAGAATATTACAAAACAGACTAAGGTAAAAGTGACTATCACATCATGATGACCTGCTTTGGACATTATTTGATGACATTGGCTGGACTTTTGAAGGAAAGACACAAAACTACAACTTTAAATAGCCCTAAATCAAAATGAGGTGTCCAGACACAATGAAAAACACACATTAGGTGGAGGTGAGGTAGGGCCGCCCTAAGCACAGCCCACCAATATGCCACGCACATTGATTCTTCCGATCTGGAAAAACGTAACTAATAATTTCACGTAAGTTGAATTATGCCGGAAAACTCAGCCAATTTTCGACATAAGATGACCTTTTCTAGACAGTGCAGGCAGATAACTCCTTTGGTGAAATGTTATATCAGGAAGGTCCACAACATTGCATCATACCAAACATTTCCATTACATTATAGTACCTTTCATGTCTCAATAAACACATCTAATGCAATTACACAGCTGTGCTGAACTGACATAATTACTGGTTGGCCTATTTCATGGGTGGTAACAGCACTGTGGACAAAGGCTATCAAAGCTTATGTGGAATATTCAAATGCCAATCAGACAACAATCTCAATATTCATGTATTAAAAAATGACAGGACCCTTAGCTCCAACATCAATATACCTGAGCACGCCTTGGCCAATCACTTCGCATGCAGCATTCCACAAGCATTCAACAGCCGGTAGCCTAGGCCACAACATTCATAACTGGCAAGTTGTGCAGTAACTGAATCATTACATTATCAGTTTTGCTGCAGAATGTTCAAATGAGTCATTATATGTAAACTGAGACATAATGTGACTCGACAAAGAACAACATACATCTGATTAGCCCGGAGGCATCTGAAATTACTTGAACACAATCTGATCCTCCAACCACCATCCCCAGTACCGCATCACAATTCAAGTGCTTTGCGACTGAGAAATGCGACTACACTTAATCGCCACAAACAAACCAAAGATGCCACTAGCACAGCACTGCCAACTTTTGGTACAGCATCCTAAATCTGGTGTTAATCCCGACTCTGGTATACTTATAGTATGTGTCGATACCTACTAGTCAAAACTTTTGAGCACCCGGTGTTGTATTGCCCTGCCTCAAAGAAACTGTTCCCGCCCATGGCACCACCTCGGCCTGCAACTTGGCGCAGTGGCGTTACGTTTTCCCATGTTTGACGCTGTCACTCACAAATACAGGTGCATTGTTACAACGTTATCGCATTCTGCACCTTTTCCAAAGCCCATCCGGTTGAAGTTCTGTGTGGTGCAGCAGGCCTAGCAACGGACTTCGATTAAAAATAGCGAGCTCTTTATTGCTTCTTAGCAGGCTTTTCATAAGCCCGTATCGTTCGGAAGCTATTCCATGCTCAATATGTACAGTTGCTCTTACAAAACAAGATGTTGACAAGTCAAAACAAAACAAGTTGCTCGTGGCACGACTGGCTATACACGGTGATATGCGGACCTCGAGAGCTGCGTCCGTGGATGTGAACGGCCGGGGGCCACGGATCACAGAGGCAGCGGGTATAACAGATGTATGTTTTGTTGGCGTGCGGCTGGCGGTTCCCGTTTGGACTGAGACGAAATTATTCGTCATTTCGCTATTTGCATATATTTCTGGAATGAGCAGTGAATCCTGGAATAGTTTAGTCTAATCAGAATGTACGATTTTTGCAAGTATGATGATATAACACGGGGTTATGCGTCATGCGGCGTTTGTGATGTATTGCATTCAATGACCACGCTTGTCCAAGGCAGGCTTACCGTTAGCTAGCCTTAGGCTTGTCTATGCCTTTTGTACCTAGTGGCAGAGTTGAACACCTCAGCTTGCAGAACTCGCTTTGTCTATAGGTATGATTAAATAAACATTTGCAATATTGATTTGTAATAGCTCCTACACTTGTTATCACAATGATGTAAGCCCAGTAAGGAAGGTACAGTAAAGCCCTATGGTCTGGGCCTTTTGATGCTACAGTCAACAGCGTTTTATAATTTGGGGCTTGTACACACATGTATAATAAAATAATCGCAGGTCGAACATTTCAAATGCTACCAATCGTTCGAAACCAACGGCACAGATCTCCCGTACAAGGCGTAGTCATGGCAGCTGACCGCAACCCACGGATATGAAACGCCAGGCAACCGCGATACGCGATGCGCTATAAACGCCGCATGACGTTCAACCCCTAGTTATGTATACCCCACGGAAAAATATAAAATTATGATGAGAATAAACTGTTCCGCGATTTAGCCTCCCCTCCAGACAGTGTTTGCGTGACAAAACCGTGGACCATTCACTCAGAGTCCAACCGGGAAGCGCCAGCCGCACGCCACCAAAACATGCTCACCATTCATCATCATCATCATCACTGTGCATTTTCCCTTTCTCCTGCTTGAAACATCCTTAATTTTCTTCCATGATCCATTCATAGCAGGAAGTGCAGGCCTTTGTTTGAATACTGCGTCCCTCTGCACCCCCATGTACTTCGCCTGAACACGTGTTCGTCACTGTACCTACAAATCAAGCGGCTAGGTAAATAAGGGCGGAAATGCAAAGTTTTGCATCTCGGTGTTGTTCAGTATCCATTATATAGTATCCTTCATTCGAAACCTGGGAGCACCTTTGTCGTGCTAATTTTGACATGTTGCAACAAAGATACATACGGTGCAACTGTCCTTTACCGGAAACTTGTATCGTCCAATGTCCATCACCTTTAGCTAAGGTCTAACAATTTTATCTTTTCGTAACGTCAAAATGCTACCGATTGAATACAACCGACTGATTACCCGGTCGCCGTCGACGAGCTATTAATGGAAATGTTACACATTTAAAAATACTGAAGGAAGCATCGGATATGATGAAATAAGCTCACATATAACTATTCGCATGCCTTTGAATGGAAAAGTCTGCTCTGGACCGCACAATTTGCACAGCATTCATTGGAAGTCAGCTGATGGCCGCTGTATCTGGAACTAGTGCTCACGAACGCCAGACATGAAATATATCACACACGTACACACGTACACGTTCTCGTGTATATAATCGTGTACGTGTGTGATATAATATATCACACACGTACACACGCACGCGTGTGCGTGTGCGTACACACACACACACACACACACACACACACACACACACACACACACACACACACACACACACACACACACACACACACACACACACACACACACACACACACACACACACACACACACGCACACGCACACGCACACGCACACGCACACGCACATGCATATATATATATATATATATATATATATATATATATATATATATATATATATAGAGATACTTAGTCCTCCAAAATTCTTAGTGGAACTCATAACTAAGTAGAACTACTAAAATCATTCAAGCTTTTAGTTCTACTAAGATATTTGGCCAAATTTAATCTAATCAACACCTACTGCTATCTGACGCATAACAGCGTCACACCGGACGGGCACTTGCCCTAGATTAGTAAGCACGCGTGAGTGCATGTCAGGTAATACAACCTCCCGATAGGCACTCAAATGCTGTGCCAGTTGAGCATATCATGGTATCAGCTAAATGCTATCATGGCATCAGGTGACAGAAAATGCTCTGAATGACGGCTCAGCCTGAGCCAAGCCTGAAGCTGATATGCATCGGTGAATCTTACTCCTCAAGATGACACCGCACCCATTACAATTACAATGTATGGCATTTCGCTTTCATCATACGAAAGAATGCATGATAATCACGTGGCAGCGCTCTAGGCGCTCGCTAGTTGCGAACGTGTAGCAACATATGAAGGTGCGTGTGCGTTTGTGTGCGGGTGTGCGTGTGCACGTGCATGTGTATGTGTGTGTGTGCTGGTGGCGGCGCATGCATACACGCATTGGATCATTCAAGTCCGTGGTGCGACCACACGTTGTTCAGTTTCAGTTATTGAGCGGGTTGCGATCGTCCTGCTCGGGCCCCGGCACTCGTGCCTTACGATGCGGCGTTTCAATCACGTAGCCCCTGGCCGGCACGTAGCGCAGCCATCAGCAGTGCAAGAAGCTCAAAACGTACCTGGGAAAGGCAAGCCAATCCTGCAGGCACAGCATGGCCCTAATGGCCTTACCTGTCCTTTGACGAGGCTGGCGGCGAACTGCATGATGATAGCCTCGACCGTGTAGGCGCTGGCCCAGCCCCGTGGCGTCAGCAACTCCATGCAGATGGCGCCCCCGGCCATCACGAAGCCGCGCTCAATTCGCGGCGCCAGCACGCGCAGGAACGGCGGCGAGAACGGGAAGTTCTCCGGAAACGCCATGTTGAGCTGAATGCAGCGGATGTGCAAGTCTTTCATGTCGCGGTACAAGTCACTGGTGCGATCGATGTTAAACAGGTGGATGTTCCACTCGTAGAGGCAGTCGTTGACCAGCTCCACAGTAAAGGGTGGCTCGGCCTGCCGCGCCACGCTGCGCGTGATTTCGCGGTACTCCTTCATCAGCCGGCGGTTGCGCACTACCTTCAGGTGGCCGGCGTCGCGGACAGACGGCTCCTGCGGCGGCCGGGGGCGCGCTGGGCTCACGCGACTGTGATCCAGCATGCCGTGGAAGAAGCGCCGTGAGGCCTGGCGGGGCGAGTTGAAAGCTTGGTTGCGCCGGGTCGGCGTCAGAGGGCTGTCCGGTGACCGGGACGGCGCACCAGGCGGCTCGGTGTGCTTTGATTGGTGCGTGTCGACTTGCGGGTCCGAGGGTAACACATTGTCCTGGGGAACGCCAGCGCTTATTGCCGCGGGTTGATTGTACACGTTGTTTTGATGGATGACTTGGTTCCCATTTCTTTGGTCGGCCGATAGGGAGCGGAGCAGACCAAGTTTTTTCAGGATGTACTTCTTGAGTGAAATTGCCATTGCAACTTCTGCTCACAACAGTCTGAAAGAGTGGCAACGTCAGCACGCAACGTAGTTATACAACTCTTGATGCGTATTGGTTAGCGCCAGAGGCACGGTTGGCCGAGGCGGTTAAAATTCTGAAGTTGTGCGAAAAGTGTAAACAATCAGAGCTTCCACTGTTCGCACTGGGTCCGAACTCGGACAAGCGTACTCAGACGAACCCATTTCAGCAACTCTGAGTGGTCCAAGAAGACTGAGGGTCCTACTCGAGCGACTGTTATCCATCAGCCTATCAAACACGCGTGCCGGCGTCTCTGTACAGGGCGTCACACGAGAAACGTCTCTGTATAACGCGTCACATGAGAAGCTTAGCCGCCAGTCACTAGCACCGTCGTCTGAAAACCAGGAGGCATAGATTCGCAACAACAGCGCAATGCGGCAAAAGACTGATCACGATGAGAAGCACGGCGCTTTCGATTGTATGATTTTGTCATCACTGACAGGTCGCTAACATCTGCCAAGCGAGTGGACTGTCACTTGAAATATCGGCGCAGCAACCGTCTACCTGATTTTTGTTCCTTGCACTCGTGTGGGAGCAGTCTGCACATCGCCCTCTGTCGCATTCTTCGCCCAGACACGCTCGTGCATCGTACCGGTGCGGTACGAGATCGTACAAGCGGTGCCGGCCGCACAAGCTTATGCCTCGCACCTCATACGTTCGCATCAGGACACCATCGCCCCCTTAACGCGAAATCAGGCGGGCTGGTCAGGGCATCGAGCCATCGATCGCTAACCGTTCAGTGGCATGCCCCGGATCCTTTCCATTTCCCCAGACCCATTAGCTGACGCGGGCTGACACTCAAAGGCCGGCCCAAGCACTCCCATCTCGGTTTCATTCAAACGGTGTCACCTGTCGCGGGAAATTCCCTGCACCACCGGTAGCACACAGCCCACGTCCACGCGCTTGGCCCACGCTAAACGAGACTGATTTCTACGTGCTGGAGTTTTTATTCGTGCCCTGGAATTGAAACTAAAACTACGTGAAACCAGGGCGCAAGATGTAAAATCTTCGGATTGGAGCAATCTCTAACAGCCGTCACATTTCACCTCAAACATTTAACAAGCCATACACGGACCACAGCTGTCACGTGAGATCAAATGGTATTTCTCAGATGAATCTCATGTGTCTTGTCACAAAACCAACCCACGTTAACCTAATAAGAATAAAATATCAATTCACGCCAAGGCAGCGTAAGGTCCTGCGGCAAACCACTGGTCGTCTGGAAGAACATTCAGCAGGGGCCATTTGTTTAGTCTACGACCACCCGCTCATCCAAACCATATGCACACATGCCCCCACGCAAGAATTGTCCGCCTGTGCTCCGTTAATGCCCAACGAGACTGAAGTGGACGCTTAAGTGATGCGCTAGTCCGTCTTGCATGCGTTAAGTGTACTTGAATTTTCAATAACCGGGGTCTTTCTGGCAACTGTGACTGCAAACTCCTGACGTCGAACGCAGGCATGAATTAGTTATAATATTCCGTCATGGTCATATTGCTCCTTTCTGTTCATAACAGAACACCCGTATAGAAACCAATCCCATAAAGGTTAAAAATCACTCCATGTTCAAGCATAGGGGAATAGATGACGAATATAATAGAGGGAATACATGAATAGAACACTGGGGAATTCGGTAGCCTTTTTAGACACCAGACTTAGCCAGTGGTGGATGTAGCATTCCGTTAAGGGGATGATCACACAACAGTGAGCCCCACCCCCTGAAGTTTTAGATCTCTCAAAAATCCTCGGATTTCGGTCATTAAATTTCAAAATTCCCATCTTTGTTATTTTTGTATGCGTAACACTATCGACCTGTGCAATATGTGATACGGGACAACACCAATCGGCGAGCAGCACTACAAAACTAGGCGTGGTGGGAAAGTGCATGCATGAAGCGCGATCAGTTTCTCCTGATCATGCTGGATCCTACCATTTTGAGGTCAAGTCTTTCCGAAACTATACAGCCAAGTGAATTAAAGTTGGCTGCTAAATGTAATCAAAATCAAGCACGACACTCAGTCTCTAGGCTGGTTGCGGCTGGCCGGTTTCCGGCAGCTAGCCGGCCACTCTATGTTGCGATCAGCTGTAGGCAAAATATTTATACAGAGCTTGTGTCTCCCTATCACGAAGGAGTAATACACATACTGGCATTTATACCGCGTTAACAGTGTAGTGCACTAGTATGAATGTCGCGTATTCAGCAACAAAAGAAAGAGAGGCGAAATGTGCTACGTCGGCGGAGGGTAACATTTCACTAGCAATTGCGTGCATTGCTACCTGCGGCTTATGCACCAAGGAAAGCCATCGTCGGGGAGGCCTCGGACTTGCACGCGAACAAATTTAGCCAGGCCAATGAACGCGAGCTGGCGAAGGCCATGAACAACGCACGCTGTGCTAATGCTCGCAATCATATGTGGGGCTTTTAGCAACGGGTTAAGGCCCGTCCGACGTCACGAAAAGAGCTCAGGACCAATGTGGAGGGTCCCGGAGTCGTAACGAGCGCCCCAGTCGATAAGCATGTAGAGCAATGTCAACAACAAAGGCCTTCCGATAAAACGGGAAACCCAAGACCAATGGGGACAGCACTTAATTCGCAACCGGCCAGGCGAAGTTGAGTTCCTGCATCAGGCTTTTTCGAACACGGGTGAAAAGCGAACGTTCGCAGTCACACAAGATTGCAACTTCTGGAATCCGTTTTGTTCTGTTCCGTAACCCGTTCATTTATTAATTTGGCATCTTTTTCGCGGATTTGAAGCCGTCATCTATCAAGACCAATTACCTAGGTCAGGTTAAAGAGATCGTGTTCTAAAGAAATTGACCACGCATAGCTTTTTTGCGAGTCATTTAGCATCGCTCAAACTTTCTGTAACAATAGAAAAAGACAGTACCTGTAGTCTGCATCTTTCAGACTTTTCGGAAAAGGTGAAACCAGTGAGCCGATGTTAGGTAAATGTTTGCATTTTTGGTAAATTATGTAAATTTTTACGTATTTTTATGTATTGTGTATCGCATATGAGGAAAGCAGTACTAGCTCATATGCACAAAAAATGGCCACGGAGCACATGACCTTAGCCCAGGTCAAGACCTACTTCTATCGGTGCATTGTGCAAAATACCTGCCGGGCTCAAAAAAGGCAGTTGTAATAGGTTATTTTGAACACAGAATCTGACTACTCCACTGAAAACATGCTGTGATATCATTCTTATGCATAGTGGGGTCACAACAGGATACCTTAGGATATGCAAGGCCATATGAGTCCGTCCAAGGCCCATGACGCATGTTGTCAGTAGCGGAGAGGCTAGATGGACGAGGGTGACATGTGTAACCACCTTCTTATAGCGTTTGTGGAGCTGATGACACATAATTCCATTCACCAACATGCCTGTTCTCAGTTTGTCACAAACGCATTGCCAAGTGTTTTCGGAACTACGTGTAATGCAGACAAATATGCGATCCGAGAACCAGTAGATGTACAAAACACCATTCCCTTACACAGAAAAGAACATTGTACTGGTCATATAGACCCGGTTGGCACTTATTTTTTCACTTGCATGGTCTATAAATGTGACAAAAGTTGTGTCCGGAGCATTTTTGTCCCACAGTTCCACCTGATGAAATGAACTAAGCCAGAAGTGCATCATGAAAAACGTATCGTTCTTATAGGCTACTGTTGACCAATTTTTAACGGTGTCCCGATCTAACCTGATGGTTTGGTGAGCAGAGATGGTCGGAATGGATTCCCTGCAGTTCCTCGCTTAGTTCCTTTCCCTCAATATTCGTCTTGCGTGTTGACATTGGCTTTAACTGCATCTATCAAAACGACCGTTCTGGCTTTTCGTGACCTCTGGTGACCTCACATTTGGCCTAAGGTAAAACATTTGGTGTGTATTCTTTTTTCATTTGACGAGAACTTCACAACAGTGCCTTTTCTCACACTGCGTCTGAAAGTTGAACATCTCAGGGGGAGTGAACTCCTCCCGTCTCGGTTACCTCAGGGTGCGGTTGCCTCAGGCCCCCGGACGGGCGCAGGTTAAATGATCGAGGGTGTCGCAGCAGGTCAACAAAGAGACTCCTGTGAACAGCATAGGCTGCTCCCAACAAACGAGAGGCAACCAAGACCAATGTGGTGGCCCCTGATAGATCGAGAGTCCCCTGGCGGGTTACCATATAGGGCCCGGACCGGAGCGCAGGGCCCTCCGAGCAAACGGGACGAACCCAAAACCAGTGTGAAAGGGCCCTCAGTGATTGACGGTGCTTTGAAAGAGCACACGGGCACCGCGTACGGCCCTCCGACCGTTCGGTCGCCAAGTCAAATATGGCGGGCCCGTGAACGATCGAGTTCCTGGGTAGGTTAGCAGAAAGAGCATTGGCAGGGTATAGGATTATCCGCAAATGACTGCATATAGAATAAACCCTATACCAGTGTAGACGGCCCCAGGATTATCTCATATTATGGCCCCAGGAACGTCGCGGGCCCTCCGAGCAAGTGGAAGAAGCACGAGACTAGGGTGAAGGGCCCCTTAGCAGCCGAGAGTACCCCGGGCAGTTAAGATATGGAACATCCGGAAATAGCGTAGAGCTTTTCGGGCGAATGAAAGGAATCTCTGGAGGACCCCTGATCGATCACGAGCACCTGGAAGGTTAGCATATACCACCCAAGAACAGCGTGGAGCCCTCCGAGCAAGTGCGAAGAAATCAGGGCGACGTGGAAGGCTCCCTGGCGATCGGAGTGCCCCCTGCAAGTGGCCATATGGGGTCCCCGGCAACAGCCTATGGCCCTTAGACAGTGTAATATATCCTATACTTTCCCCAAACGCCCCCACTTGAATCAGCGGCGTTTTCTCTTCCGGCCCTTC